AAATTTAAAGACCGATTTCTTATAGTAATTGGTTCGGACGTCAGCATGCCAAATTTCATAGTGTAATGCTTAGACCTCCGGAGCGTCTGGAACAACATTGAATTCGCCTAAAATAAAGCTTGAACGCCAAAAGTGGAAGACGGACACACGACAAGTTCAGACTCAACCATAGCAAATCAGGTTTAGATCCAGTTTAAACAAGGCAGAATATCGAACTTATGGTGCAGAAGGTCTCTAAAACTCACAGTGGCAAATACCAAGACATTGAGGGAAATCCCAACAGTAATAGCAGCACAGGTTTTCCACAACGGTATGACAGCATGGTGCATTCGCTTGTGTTTGCTCTGCCTCCCTCCATGACACAATATCGCCATTGACCAATTTCAGTACATTTCCCCAAATCCAACTGGAGGGTAGCCTGAGGGTTGCTAGTTAAATGGAGAATTCTCTAGGGGATTAAGGTGGCAACGTTAAGATATAAAATAAGCTTGCCAATACCATCTCCAGTAATTTCTCCGTAAAAAAGACCACTTTCGGCTGGTTCTTCAGTGTATCTATTGAGTTGAAGTGGTCACGTCTCAAAGATAGACCACATTCTGAAGCATACTCCTCTCGGAAGATAACAAAATGGTCAGCAGAACTCTTAAGGTTGCTGGAAATTCCTCGACCGCCCACGACCAGTTTCACCCTTCTTGGGTCCCATTATCTAGGATCAGTCCCCGAGTTTCCGTCAATTTTATGATCTACGTGAACCCAAATTGAAAAATTCGCTGTGTCAGCTGTGGTGTTATTCTCATTTGCTATTGTTATCTTCTGAGTCAGTGGCATGTTTTTCTGAAGATTGCGGTTATGAATTCTGTCAGCGTTATTTGAGCTCGTTTGGTGTTTTCTGGGTTAACGATATGCACCAGATATTGGAATGAAATAGTTATCTGTTTCTTCCGACTAAAATCAGACTTATTCTATATCTGTAGTCCTCGACGATGAAAAGGGCAAAAACTCTTCACCTGTTTGACATCGTTGATCGGTGCACTAGGGAAATGTGCCCTCAGTTACCATTGACCACCACTTTACATATGGTGCGGTCTGTTTTTCCGTAAGCTTTTTTTCCTATAAGTAATTGTGATCATTTGTTCCGTTGGATTCACTTTACGGATAAACAATTTTTGTTCACTGACGAATAAACACGAAATTCTATATACTGTATCCCAGATGCCGCCTAAACTGCAACACATTTTCAGTACCATCAGAGTTATGTTTCAATCAGTAGGCTCTTACAACGCTACTATCGTTAAACAACGGTGCAACGTTAAAATGACGATGTCACCTCGACGAAACATCTACAACGAAATTGTCAAGATCAGCGAACAAAACACAGGGCATCCACGTAACATGAGCTACCAGCATTCCTCTATCAGGAAGGTCAGATTCTTGAATGTAACCTCAGAACCCCCGAAACCTACTGCTCCACCAAAATCTCAACAGGAATACCGGTAAGCATCCAGGCCAGTCAATCATTCAATCAATTCAGCAAAAGCTGATGAGTGTTCATGCACGCCACAGAATCACGACCGAATGTAATCTGCTTTCAGGCATTTCATAGAGGCACGATCGATGTTGATGGGCGTTCACTAACGCCTATCAGACAGCCTGGATCAATGTCAGAAAGTCCCCTTTTAATAGCGTGAGGCTGTCGTAACTTTCACTCCCGCACTCGCACGCACTCACGCTCTTGCACTCGCTTGTTCTGGATAAAGTTGTTGTGTTCCCTTCTGTGAGTCGTTTTTCCGGCAACTAGGCACTGGAGCGGGTCAGCAGCAGATACCACAGATTGACGAATCAGCAGACATAACACGTCTCAGTAGATTTCTACTAGCGTTCTTCAGTTCTATTGTGTTTGGTCTCCCTCGAGACAGGTTAGCTGTCAGAAGTGACCAACTTTGCTCTGTCCTTTCGGATTTTCTCTCCGGAGTGTAAAAACCTAATGCGATTGCGCCTTAAAGCGAGGCGTAACATTTGTACATCTTATTGTGCTCACAACACGCTAATACTTTCGAAGGACTTCAGGTTCTAGTGGATAAATCGGGCATCTTATCGATAAACCATGAATTGACATGAGGCAGTCTAAACGAGAAAACAGATGGTAGGCTGCAGGTGAAGCTGCATTTTGCCACGTCAACCAAAATTTCCTAATTGAACCGTGGGGACTTTCGGACAAATTCTTGAGAGAAACTAATTGTACTGAGCGTATTGTTTGACAGACGTTACTATGTTGCTATAGGGTGAACGTGCCGACAGAACCAAGTGTTTCTGCCGGAAAACTAGCACCTGATTTACAATCCACCTTGACAGTCTTATATCACTTGACCATCCGAGAAAGAGACAACGGCATGGTTGCTAGGAAACCTCGTTTCATATGCTTTCCCCTCTGTTCGGGACCTTCAAACCAACTTCAAAACTGATGACAGTGTTCCAGTTTATTTTGAAGCACGGGAATCAAACTCTGAAATTTTAATAACAGGTAAACAGAACAGTAGAAAGACCGCACTGGATAATTTGGACGGGTATGAGTGTATCAGAGTGCTTGGTGAAACGTTTCCCACCAGTGAACCGGAAATAAACTAGCAAACCACGGACTTTCACCAATATCCGGTTACTGCAACCTGTTGGAAGCTTGTGTAGTAACTCAGTTGAAGAGTTACTAAGTCAGTAGCAGATACGAACGATGTTCTTCCAGGTAAATAGCCTTCATCACATCCGCTGTTACCGAAGTTAACGGCCATTTCTACACCTCATACAGTTTCCAATAAATGTGAAAATTTATTTCTAATGCGCATCTTTGTAAACCTTAATTTCTTGACTGTTTTACAGGATTCTTAGTTGGTACTAGCCCCCAATTTTATTTCGAAGTTGCGTTCGGAAACAGATCATGAACTCCACACTTCTGATTCCCCAACAGACATTCTAAGCATGCTGATTCCGGTGATTCCGCTTACCAGTTGACTAAATCATCTCGGCCAGTGCGCCATTCCGTTGGGATCACGCCTCTGATCGCACAAATTCGAACATTTCACGTGCAACTGATGCTGATACATCTTTTTCAGTGTATCTAAGAACGTGACCGGACCCTGATGTACTAGCAGGACTGCCGTGTACCAGTTACGTGTAATATTTCCTGGAAAGCTATGGTTCAAGTTCTGAGTGTGATCAATATGCAGGAAACTAGCTAAGTCATTGAGTACCTTGAGTATCTTCATTTAGTATACGATATTACAACTTTTTCGAAACAAGTCCATGAAAACAAATCTAGATCAATAAACGTCACATTCAAACCATCGTTCCCCTAGAGTGACCACCTCACTAGAAGTGATCTGTTCTACGGGGCAGTTCCTTCTAAGAAGGCCGCTACAACCGAGGTCCGCTAAAGGAACAAGACAAAAGTAGTTTGTCTTCCTTTTCATATTGAGGCATTCGCCCTTCTCGAGAGGGCCTACGCCACTTCCCTTCTTCATTTACTCAGTTTGTCTTTATGACACTTTCACCGATTAGTGATAAAGTTAGCACTCTCACAGATCATCGATAATCAGTAACCAGCATACCGTGAGCACCACGGACAAACGTAAACTTGTTCACATCCACCAGACTGTTTCTATGAGGAGGTAAAAGATCACATGAGCCTCGATTTTACAATAGCAGATAGCGAATAGGTGCTGTAAGATTATCGTTATTGATGGCTTCGGCTACCAGTGAGAAATACTGAGAACGCTTGACCCAGCTGATTGAAGTCGACACCTTCTGTATAGATTAGCATAGGCCCTCTTGCGAAATGGTATCCGGTGACTGAGAATCTATCTCTGAAGCCCTCATCCGCGAGACGGCTAGATGCGTTTGATACATTGCTTATCTCCCTGACCTCACTACAGAACAAACGTAACTAAGGACATGGAAAAATCAGCAGTGTAGCATGCTTTGTCAAAAATGTTTCGAGTTGTCCAAAGTGAGCGGAACTTCCACAACTCACCAACTACGCCCTACCTAAACTTCATCAAGCCAGTGCTGTGCATCCGACATACTGCACAAATGCCTGGCATTTTCGGTCCTGAAATCTCGTTTATTTCTGCGAAACCACGTAAACACAGGCTGCATCACTGGACACATTGTCAAACGCGCAGAGTAGAACTATCCAATATGAATTGCCAGTATGGCTATGTCTACCGTTTGATAACTAGGGCTGCGGTCACAAAGTCCCAGTCGGTTTCCAAATTATCTAATGACTACACGAACCAGGTGAGACGGAGTTGAAGAATCACACTTGGCAACAATGATCCGATTGCTCAACCAAGCGTTCTGTGCCTGTAAAAGATACATTCGCGCAATACAATGAATCTGGCCTATTTCTCTCCTTCTCTAAATGACCGCACATAACTTGAATCACGTTTGTTTGCTTAACACAGGCTCTTTCAATGCGTTCGGGTTTCCCCAAACCGGTTTCCATTTCCTGCAAAAAATAAAATGTTTCGGATCTGGAGACGTATTAATTTCTACAAAATTTGCGAAACCCTCAATATTGCACCGAAGCCACCCTCAGGACAGACAGATCGCTTTTGGTCACCACGGAAATCTTTTAATGCCAAGTTCCTCTGAGTACAGGTCACGTTCAGTAGCTCCTCTCGTGATGAACCAGGCGCAAATGATAGACCGTGGTGAGTGTGACCAGGCTGCACCAGTGGCTGGACTCTGCATGCGGGTTTGAGTTCAGTGGCATCTGCTTTGCTGAAGTACCAGGCCAAATACGTTTCAAAATACCGATATAACAAGAGAGAAGAACAAGAATACTTCGGCGCATCACTTTGTTCATGCAATCTTTACTAAATAACACTGAAAAGTGGACAAATTCTGGTGCATGCTGGAAAAGGTACACTGGCCAAAATGTTTAGAGTAGTGTTGTGGCAAACTGGCACCGAGAAATTTGTCAGTGAGTAGTTGGGGTGACGAGATTTAGGTGAAATTAAGGAGGTAAAAGGCAACTAATATTGCCAAAACAAGTAAAACGTAGATCGCCATTAGCAAAGTGGCAACGTACAATGTGTCCAGAAGTAAAAGAAGTTTAGGCAGTAAGAAACTGGGGAATCCTGTGGTCGTCGCGACGATGGTGGTCGCGGTCGTCGTCACCAGTGGGCAAGGTAAATAGCACACATTTGTCGCGGCACAAGGAATGGTCGCATTGCACGGTGCATTGTTTGTAAAGCATACGCATGAACTTGACGTACATTCGCTAGCGCATACAGCAACACCACCTCCACAATCTGCATTGACTGTACAAGGTGCAAGCGATGGCAGACATACACACTCTGCGCGTACGGTAGGAATGTTATTGGACAAGATAACGATCCAACAGATCAGCGAAACTGTTTTTCGGGGAGAACAACAGCCATGTATTAGAAATCTACCAACAGCAATCAAAAGTGTAGGGGACACTAGCCTACCTGATGCAACTACTTAACCCTCTCGTTCATATTTTCTCTGATCTTATTATCGAAGGATGCATTTAGGAGAAAGCGGTGATGGGAATCATTGTCAGAGAAATATCGCTGGATAGAACTGTAAAAGGTCCAGTGACCACATGTCTGATATTAGTACTGTAGAAAACATCTGATCTTTACAATTTGACAAGCCGACATCGGCGGAACCTCTTACATAACTTATTCGACGTAAACCCGACAGGCATACTCGTCAATGATATCAGTCACGAGCTTCGAGACAGTTGCGAGAATGATCATGTGAACCTTGTCAGGTGAACACGATCTCACAATCCACGACGCCAGATACGTCATCAACACCATCATAATGACCATCGCCATCACCGTCATCATGATCATTATGACTGAAAGCAATGCATCAATACTACGCACTGGCGCTTAGGTGTCATAGCCTGTAAAGTTCGTGGTTCTAGGCGAGCTGGGAGACTGCCAGAGAGCCGAGACCTAGACAGGGAGAGAACTGGAGCTCCCAACAAAAGCGTTTTCATCAAATAGCTGATCACAATGCAACGGTGGTCAGCTCGCGACTAATTAAGTTGCCCTAGTTCTAAGGAATAAATTGGCGCACTTTTCCAGGCCCACATCCTAGTTGCCAGATAACTCTGTTTGCGCCTTAGTACTCACAATGCAATAGCCACAAAAACGCTGTGCTGATGGTTGACAAATGTAGACCAACTTTCAGTGTACAGAAAAGTGAGGAGTGCCCTATACGATCACATACCGTCTCTAGACGTCGACCCTCACAGTGGCTCATCATTTAGACGCACATAGAAATTCAGGACGTTGCACTGGACCGGATGAAGGAAAATGGACAAAGTCACGTGTGACCAGAGAACAACTGTTAAATGGACAGTGAGATGCAGCACAACCCATTCAACTGATGAATCATCGCTATGCCCTTCTCTATAAGTAAGCGATTGATTTCAGTTCATACGTTCTGGTATATTGTTTAATTTTGACAACCTGAAATGCGCAGCAAATCCAACACACACTGATAGTAGGAAAAACCGGCTCCATGTGCAGCTGAATATTATGACAATGGAGAGCGGCAAACAAGGAGTCTATCAAAAATGGGAGAAATCCTGGAAATGAGTTTTGTAATACCATTTGATTTTCACTTCTCTTTGCTAGGTGGCACTGGTTTACTGGTTCTTACCTGTGACCGTTTAGAGTACATGCTTGCTGACGTACTTATCGTTTTACAGAGGATGCCGTAAATAACCTTCATACAGGCTACTATTATCGCACATGAAAACATTTAGTGCACTGAGAACTTCTCCTCGATTGGTGATGAGTCGCTTGCAGCTATATTAACCCGGGCCTTTACGAACAAACAATCCTGAGAATGAAGTCTGACTTGGAGGGCTAGATGCATACTGACCACAGCAGACAAACCGGCTTTAAGAGCCATACAGCAGCAACCTGTGCCCGGTCAGGTTGCCTGCCCTAATGATAGTACACGACTGCTTTCAGTCCAACAGATGACCTCATCGACTATGACAACTACCAGTATGCCTTGTGGTTTCCTGACATCGGGAGTCATAACACTTGCATGGAGTCAACCTATCACTGTCCATGTGTGACTGAGGCCCAGTTGTGGCGTACAAACATATGGGAATGAGGCAGATTTCAGCCAAAACAGACAGAAAAACTAGATAAAATTCATCGGGATACTGTTCACTCAGGAACAAGCGGAATCCGAACGAGTATATTGCTGCTGAGTTCCGCATCTAATCAGACAAGGAATGTCTGAAATAGTCCCGCTTGTTGAACAACCATAAAAATTTCTATCACAAACTGAAAGAAGGTTTCTCGGATGAACTCAGTGCAATAGGAGCAAAGGCTTCACACCACCATGTGAGACTGAGAATGGAGAAATAGGATAGCCAGCCCTGAAGAACAAGTTTTATTTGCGCACCCCAGAAAAAGACTAACCGCAATGTTTTGGAAAAAATAAGTTTCAGATGGCTGAACTTGTTTCGGCGGCTTCGTGGTGGACTGAGGAGCAGTTTCTGCCAGGAGAGGGTGCCGGGTAGCAATGCTTGACGGACAAGTAGACATCAGATTCACACACACCAACATGGGTAGCCGAATTCCCATTGGATTGGGATATTCTCTGTGTTATCGTGACTTGTCGTTGCTCCCTGCTTGACCTGCAAAATCTTGATTCTGACAGAATATTCAGCTGTTACACGAGCCGCCTAGTAGTTCGTAATCGAGCCCGATCGAGAAAGCTTGGGTTCTCATAGTTAAACAGTTGCATGGAGGAAATCACAGGATAATAGCCCCAAATTAAACGAGGTCATATCAGCGGATTTGGTAAAACTACGTCCGAAAGACGTGTTTCATCAGTTAACAGCATGTAATGTTTTATCCCCTTTTAAACTAGTCGGTTCCGCAAGTAATCCGTTTTCATTGTACTAGTGTTGTGTCCCATCCCTTGATACTCCTCAACGTCTGTCGGTTTAACTGTTAATTTGGACTTTTATTCCGTAGACTCGTTTCAGGTTTTGCAGTTCCAACTTGAGAGAGGATTAGGATACCTAGAAATGATAGGTGACCATAATAGTAAAACAATATTTTTCACTAAATTCTTGCAACGTTTAAATTGTTATGGTGAAACAGAAAACCACAGGGAACCAGTTTCAGTGTTACTAATGGTCTGTGGAACGCAAGATCGTCAGTACCTGGACGCGTTCACAAGCGTGGGCTGGAGTTAGCGTCAGAGTGACGTCTCGTAACACCGGTTGATTTTGCATAGTTTGCACGTCAAGTTCGTCATGTGCTGCTTGGGTAACAGTAGTCAGTCTGATCAATTGGTCTGACGGTGAACTAACGGACGATGAACTGGCGTGTTGATATGCAGTGTACTTGATCTCAATGGAATGGCTCGCAAAGAGTTGGTCTGGTGGTGAATGTATTCAGAAATCGAAGGGGTTGTTGTGAAATGGCTCAAGATATTTTAGCCTACGATGACCTTCCTGCGGACTTGTTTCAGTGACTGACCGTGAGCCGCACCGAAATACTCTATGTATGTCTGCATGTACGTGTGCTCGCAGTACAAAACATGAATTTTCTTCTAATGTTTGTTTAGTGTGAGTGAATGTACGCCCATTGTTTGGCATAAGTAGTACGGGATTATTGCTGAAAAGCAACAATCTTCTAATTTGTCGGACAATGAAGGCAAACACCGCCCACTACGTCTATTGCCCTTTGAGCCACTTCGTGATATCCGTGATCAATCCATGTGTATAAGATTCAGAGCGTGATGCTTTGTCATGCTATTAGGCGTGAAAATGACCAAAAACCCACCCATCAAATAGATCCCAATTCTGCAACTGTATGAGTTTCACTTACACAAAGCAAGCAGTGCTTTCTTCATAGTTCTCGGCTCCGCTGTAAGGATGGAAAAATGTGAAAACGTGAGTGATAATCATCGATCGTTTCATGAAGATCGGAAGCTTTTAATCCCAATTCTGCGCATAACGCCGCAATTTCGGTCGAGCTACATTTGTAATCTACCCCTGTTGAGCTCACCAAATACGAATACTGCGTAGAACCGGAGACAGGACACAAGGCCACGTGGGTCGTTCACAATGAAGTTTACACTCGACGGGCAAGTGAGTATCAAATTAGGTGGAGCAATTGTGCTACGCATTGAGAACTATTCAAACTCTCTACTGACAAGAGATACTTAGCCGAATGGTACAGTTTGATGGGTCTTTCAACCAATTGTTCTATGCCGCCGGTCAACTTCTCATTCATTTAGATGACCCACTGTGATGCATTGATCACCCCCCTTTCTGGTTAGTGTAATCTGAGAAGTCGAATAGTGCTAAGATTAGGAAATAACTCGACTGTCTTCAACCAAGTATCGTTAATACATTTAATTTAACCTGATTATACTATCTATTCCGCGTCACCATTAAGCCATCGGCCTGTAGTTACTAACCTCATGTCTCTACACCTATGTACGCTGGTTAGCGGACAACATATTTACCAATGATGAACTGACTGCAACCCTTCTTAATGGCTAAGTCATCTATAACAAGGGACCAGACCAAAGGTAGTCGGTGTCATATAAAAACTCACGAGTTATCCGGGCGGAGATGGAGTTCGAGATTGTGTTCATCAAGTTTACAGTGGGTGTTCATTCTTGAGAATGCAATGTCATTGAACTCCTCACTTCTTGAACATTTTATGCAAGGCTTATAAGTAATTTAAAGGTGTCTAGGTGAATTGAACGCGAGGAGTCTATGTGATAGGATGTGAGTGTTCGTGAGGTTTGTATAATCCACATCCACATCATTTTGGTTTGAACAGTCCTTTTTCTGCCCTGGTGAAATTATTCTTGACGTCGCCGGACGAAGAATTGGAGTCGAGTTCCACTCATATTAGTCCTGATCCTCGTTGACTGTGCCAGGATTTGAACTCCGAATATCTGACATGCGAATAGTACAATGAGAGAATGTTCCACAAGGTCGTGCTGGAATCCCCGTGATGGGGAGAGATGAGTCGAGTCGAAATTCTCGGTTCGGACCGGATGGCATTCTGACCAACCAGGGCATGTCTTCGTTTGGCCCGTATCCTGCACGTGACACATCCGTCCAAATGATGTGATGTTCGGTCATTAGGGACGGCTGGCCTTTGGACGCGACCCGTGGATGGGGTGTTCGTGAACGCAGCGTGGTAGGGGACAGACGTTCTGGCGTTAAGCGCTGTTTGATCAACCATTGCAACCATCCCATTCGGTGTGATTATCATCCCACTAAGAAGTACTCGCAGGAAATTGTCCCTTCATGACCCCATTAAAAGTGTTTTACCCAGTTCGTGTAGCAGCACAATCCGTCTTGAGCTCAACTGCTTCTGTTTGAGATGGAATCTATCACTGCACTCTGTCAAACTGATTCCCTCAAATTTATCGACTTTCCCCACGCTACAAATCACTCGCAAGAGATAGTCTGTTGTCATAGTTATCATTTCAATAATCAAGCGTATGTGTTCGCGAGACTCCTTGCATTTTGTAGATTTCTTGCGAATTTCACCGTGCTGTAATCACTTCGAACTGGGAGAGTCAATTCGGTCAGAGTGGAGGGTTTCGAAAACGCTTTTGCTTGCGTAAACTTTACCACTTTACTGGAGTTAATGCGGGAATGTGTGTTGCTCTTTGCCGTTCACTCAGTGATGTTTGTGCAGTTTATTCTCTTGATCAGCGGCAGCTTCTTTCTTCCAACGGGATCTGTCATTTATAGGATTATGCGGAACACATGCCTTGATAAACAAGGAGAGCATACTGAGCGTTTGGCGAGTTCTATTTTTATTTCGGAGGGTTATTAGTAACCTTCTTGCCATCTGTGTTCATGCACAAATATATGTTATGTATATGTGTACATATACATATAGGTTGTTCATCCGATTAGAGTGCATCCACACAGGTGGCCAGAACCACACTCTTTGTAGAAACACACTTTAATTCGAAGAATACACGCTTTGATTGAAAAGTTCTGTGCATGTATGAGCACCCTACTATGTTATTTGCTTGAGCTGGGTTATTCCCGCCGTCAGCCATTTAATTGATTCAGTCGCTTTTGTTACGTTGCTAATGTCCGAGTAGACGCCTTCTAATTCGACCCAAGCAGTGACCAGATTATGGGAAGTTTTATACGCAAAATAATTTTCGATCTGAGTTATCCAGCCCTTTTCCCGGAAGAGCGTC